CAACGAGAGCAGGAACGGGTTCCTACCTAGCTGCAGGAGTGCAGCAGCTGATCAGCCGCCCACCCACCATCTTGGCCCCCCCCAATACACATATATCTTTTAATAAAGGGCTGCTATTTTTCCTTTTCCCACGCTTTCTCAATTGGAGCCTCCTAATTTCAGATTTAAAATTGTTTAGAGGGAGGAGTTTGGGTCTTCTTCATAACCCATCCTCAGCAAAACACTTGAGACATATCTTTAACGCCAATTGCTGGTATTTGGGTACAAATCCAGCAGTCATCTCTGCAGAGGATTTTTTATACATTTTGGACTATGGTCACATGTAATTTTGGATCCCAAACCCGATTCATAGTTACCAACTGTACAGATAACATGCACAGTAGAAACAATGCCACATCCTCTTCATCTGAGTCAGGCTCTGATTTGCTGATTGTTCCAGGAATTGAAGCTTTCTTCACTCTGGAGTAATGAAACCACAGTCCTTTGCCAGCAACATTGATGGCAGTGAGGGAAGTCAACAGAACTTGGAATGGTCCTCTCCACTTGGCTCGCAGTGGGTCACTGTCCCACCATTTGATGTAGACCCAGTCTCCTGGTTGGAATTGATGAGCAGGGGTGTCCAATTCTATGGGTCTGGATAATTTCTGGAGCTTCTGTAAAGTAGAGACCAAAGCAATTAAATACTTTTGTAAATCAACTTTCCCTCCTGTGAATGTCCCCTGGAATGTGTGGAGCCTGGTATGGTCTTCTGTCCCAGTTTAAATGAGACAAGGGTCTTTTGCTGAGGATGGATTAGGAGAAAAGACCCAAACTTCTCTTTCTAAGCAATTATAAATCCAAAATTAAGAGGTTCTGATTGAAGGAAAACAAATTATGGAAAAGGGAAAATAACAGCCCTTTATTAAAAGGTATGTGTGTATTAACAGAAACACACAAAAAAACCCCCAAGTAAAACAGCCAAGCAAAAGTCCTATACCCACCAATAATCCCCTTCAAGAACAAAACCAATAAACTGGCAAAAGGAAAAGTAAACAGTTCAATTTTTTGCACCCTTTGGTGCAGTTCCAATCACAGTCAGTAGGGGGCGCTGTCGGGTCACTGGAGATGCAAAACTTGTAATGTCCTGTACCATTCACCAGGTGGCGCTGTTGGGTCACTGGAGGTGCAGAACTTGTAATGTCCAGTGCCCGTCACCAGGTGGCACTGTGAGATCCTTGGCTGCCGCCAGGTGGGTTGGGGGAAGGGGAAAGAAAAGCAACACCCCCCAGGGTATATCGGAGAAAAAACAAAAAAAACTCGATTCCCCTTCCCTTCCCCCACTGGAAAAAAAAAAGAGGGGGAAAGGGGAAGGGGGAAGGAAAAAAAATAAAATAATAAAACAGAAAGTTCTCCCAATGGAAGAAAACTCACAAACTTCAGTTGGTTAGGATTTCGCTTTAAGCCGGGCCTGCAGCCAGCAACAGCTGAGCAGAGAGCAGCAGCAAGCTCCCCTCCGACAGAAAAAGAAAGAAAAACCCAGGTTGCGTCTGCAGCTCGCAGCAGGCTCCACTGAGGGTTGAGAGCTGAGCTGACCCCCAACCCCACCTCCTTCCAGCCACACACACCTCCCAACTCCTCCCCCTTCGTTGTCAAGGAGACTAATCTCTCGGCCATCAGTGGACCAGGTTGATTCTTTTGTTCACCTGATGACCCATACACATGGCACACACGGCAGGGGGAAGGGAAAGAAAAAATTCCTTGCTAAAATCAGAACTATGACATCTTCCATACAATATTTCATAAGGACTTATGTTATCCCTCTGCCTTGGTTGGATGAGAATCCTCAGCAGAGCTAGAGGCAAAGCCTGAACCTCTGACATGGATGTTTCCTGACAAATTTTACCAATTTGCATTTTAAGAGTGCCATTCATGCGTTCGACTTTGCCTCTTGCCTGAGGTCTATAGGAAGTGTGGAGGTCCCAAACAATTCCTAGGACACAACATACCTCCTTCACTATCATTGCAATGAAATGTGTCCCTCTGTCTGATGACATTCCTAGAGGAACCCCAAACCTTGGAATTATGTGATTGAGTAAAGCTTTTACCACTTCCCTTGCTGTGTTAGTACAACACAGGTAAGCTTCAGGCCACCCACTGAAAGTGTCAACCAATATCAGTATGTATTTGTACCCCTCCCTTGGGGGTAACTCAGCCAAATCTATTTGTCAATAATCTCCAGGGAGGTCCCCAGCCTTTGTTACTCTTAGCACCACCCTCTTGGTTGTATCAGGGTTGTTCTGCTTGCAGATTTCACACTTGATTATAATGGATTGCATGACTTCAGTCATACTTGTCCCTATTACTACCTTCTTCAGGTGTTTTAGAAGGTTTTCTATTCCCCAGTGGGTAGCCTCATGTTCTCTCAGAGTTATTTCCCTTAGGAGTGGGAGTGTGACCACAACCTGTCCTGTTGGTGTAACAGCCCACCCACTTTCTTTGATTTCAACTTTAAGGGACTTAATTAATTGGTGGTCCTTCTTATCATATTTTGGGGTGTACCCTGTCAAATCAATCTCTTTTTGTGGTATTACTTTTAAAAATGCCTTTTTCTGCAGCCCCTTTTGAAGCCTGGTCAGCAAAATGATTTCTCAACTTGGGAATTGTTTTCCGCTTCTGATGAGCTCTGCAATGCATAATAGACACTTTTTCTGGCTTCCAAATACTTTACAGGAGTGCATGGATTTAGTCTGCATGTTTGATTCCACTGCCTTGGGCAGTTAGTAGGCCTCTCTCTTTCCAGATGGTTCCATGGGCATGTACAATACTGAATGCATACTTCGAATCTGTCCAGATATTCACTTTCTTACCTTCGCTCAGCTCTAGAGCTCTTGTCAGTGCAATCAGTTCTGCTTTTTGGGATGACACATTGGTTGGCAAGGCCTTTACCTCTATTACCTCCTCCTTGGTTGTCACAGCATACCCTGTCATCCGTTTTCCATCCCGCATGAAGCTGCTTCCATCCTGTACCAGACTGAATGAGACACGGGTCTTTTGCTGAGGATGAGTTAGGAGAAAAGACCCAAACTCCTCCCCCTAAGCAATTGCATATCCAAAATTAAGAGGCTCTGATTGAGGGAAAACAAATTTTGGAAAAGGAAAAAATAACAGCCTTGTATTAATAAGTATGTGTGTATCAGCAGAAACAACAAAAAGAAAAAAGTAAAACAACCAAACAATACTCCTATACCCACAAATAATCCCCTTCAAAAACAAACCGATAAACAGGCAAAAGGGAAAAAGTAAACAGTTCCGTTTGTGCCCTTTGGTGCAGTTCCAACCACATTCAACGGGGGGTGCCGTTGGGTCACTGGAGATGCAGAGCTTGTAATGTCCTGTGTCAGTCACCAGGTGGTGCTATTAGATCACTGGAGATGCAGAGACCTGTAATGTCCTGTACCCGTCACCAGGGTATGCCGGAGAAACAAAAAAAAAACTGTCCCCCCCCTTCCCTTCCCACATACTGGGAAAGGAGAGCGGGAGAGAGGGGAAGGGGAACAGCAACAAACAGAAAGTTGTCCCAATGAAAAAAAACGAGACTCATGCTCTTCAACTGGTCGGAATTCGTGTAACACAGTCCTCTCTCTCCCCCTGATGTGCACAAGAACCACCGTCAGGGAAAGAAAACAAACGGGAATGGGAAAAGAGGGGAAAAACCACCAGGGAAAAAAACACAACAGTTCCTATCCAATGAAGAATTCAGGCAGGGCCCGCAGTTAGCAAAATGGTTGAGGGCAGAGAACAGCACCAAGCTTCCCCTTAGACCTTGTTACAGCCACAGTCAGCCCCCAAAACTCCTCCCCCCCATTTCCCAGGAGATGGGAGAAAAAAGTAAAGTGCAGCTCCTTATCTGCCCCGTTTCCTAGGAGACTAATTTTTCAGCCATTAGCCAGCCCGGCTAGTTCTTTGTATCTCTCAAGTGCTCACTTGATAGCTACTTGATAGCTCTGCACATAGGGGCAGGGGGAAGGGAAAAAAATTCCTGCCAGGCTTCCAAGAACTAGCTAAACCATGACACATTTGTATATAACTCCCAGTCTGGATTTTCCAGAGGCACATCCTTCAAGTCTGGTCTGCTGGAATAGGTCTCCTCTATGGTCTGCAAACAGTCATGCTCAGGCACACTGTCAGTCAATGTTGAGGACAGAAACATAGAAGGATTTACAATAGATGTTGTTTTCAGGGTAACATCATCCTGTTCCAACAACACAGCTTGGTATTTGAGCATTCTGCTAGGGGACAGCCAGTGGCCCTCCTTTTGCTTAAGCACATCTTGGACTGCATGGGGTACATACACGACAATGTATTGCCCAAGGGTGAGTTTCCAGGCCTCTTGGATCAAGATAACTGTCGCTGCTACAGCCGTCAAACACCCCACCCATCTTTGGCTGACACTGTCTAGCTGTTTTGAGAAGTAGGCCACAGCCCTTTGCTGGTTTCCCAGGGTCTGTGACAGTACCCCCAGAGCAACATTTAGTTGCTCATATGTGAACAGTTCAAAAGGTCTGGTAGTCCCAGTGCTGGGGCCGACATTAAAGATTGTTTCAGTGGTTTAAATGCGGCTCTGATCTCATCTGTCCATGTCACAACTCCTTCCTTGGCCACTTTCAGTGCTTCATATAGAGGTTTGACTAATAGTCCATAGTCAGTTATCCACAGGCGACACCATCCCACCATTCCTAGGAAAGCTTGCATTTCTCGCACGGTGTGGGGCTCTGGGAGACAACAGATGGCTTCTTTCTGATCCGTGCTGAGCAGTTGATGTCCACAATAGATTTCAAGCCCCAGGTAAATGACTATTTCTTTTGCAATTTGTGCTTTCTCTTTTGAGACTCTATACTCAGTCCCAAAAAGTTTAAAAGACTTACAATGAGTTTGATGCATTGGTCCTGACTTTTAGCAGCAATTAGTATGTCGTCTACATACTGCAGGACAACTCCTTCTGGTTGCTGCCTTTTTCAGTCCTCCAGTTCTTCCGCCAGTTGGTTTCCCAATATTGTCAGGTTATTCTTGTAGTCCTGGGGTAGAACCGTCCATGTCAGTTGGGTTCTTCTCCCTGTTTCAGGATTTTCCCATTCAAAAGCAAAAAGCTCTTGGCTGTCCTTATGCATGGGAATGCAGAAAAAGGCATCCTTTAGATCAAGCACAGTAAACCACCCTAATTCCTCTGTTAATGTGGTTAATAAGGTATCGGGGTTGGGAACTATGGGGTATATATCCTCAGTTATTCTGTTGATTGCCCTCAGATCTTGGACCAATGGATAGCTATTACCATCAGCCTTCTTTACTGGAAGGATGAGGGTGTTTATATGAAACAGGAAGGGTTAATCGAAACACTTTTACTGTAAACCCACAAGAGCCCCCCTTACCCCCTGTATTTCATTTACTGTAAGCTGTACTTTTACAAGAAGACTATGTTCTGTATTAAGAGCATTAGACCTTAAAGGAACCACAACAAACACTAGACAAAGAACTCAACACACATAAATCTCATCCAGAGGAGCCAAGGTAGACATTTGAATAGGTAAAGTAGGTCTAGAGCCAAAGGTCTCTTCAAGCCTGGACGATCAGGACACGAGAACAATGGATAGAACAAAAGGTCACAGATGTCACCCGAGGAAGATGAGTAAAATGCAGACCCCAGGATGAAGGCAGGCAGGAACTCCCACCATAATATTCCTCAAAATCGAGACCACGCCTCAATCTCCACCCCGACTCCACCTGCTATGAATACTGTAATCTAATGATGCAATAATATGAATATGCATGTGATTATGTTGTAATCATGATTAGAAACTGTATAAATGGCTTGTTTTTACTGAACCACTTCGGAGCTTTTTTTGTCCAGCCTGAGTTGGAAGCTACCCCGACGTCGCAAATAAATACCTTACTGTTTAAAGGCTTAGAATTCTGTCTCTAAACAGTTTTAATCTGCCTTTTTTGGCATCATATATTTGGACTCACATTCTACCAATAGATCAAATTTGAGAAACTTTTCAATTATGGGTGCTAAACCTTGACAGTTTTCTAGTTTCAAGGGGTATTGTTTTTGTCTTACCGGTGTTGCTCCTGGCTTGAGTGTGATGCGTACGGGTTCTGTTTGTTTGGACCTCCCAGGATAATTGTTAGCCCACACTATAGGGATGACAGCATTCTCAGTCTCTGTGGGGATCTCTCCATGGTTCTCCTGTATGAAGAAGGCAGTTGCCTCAATATATTTAGTGTCAGGGATGATAACTTTTATTTGCCCCCCTTGCAGAATTTAATTTCAGCTTCCAATTTCTCCAATAAATCTCTACCCAATAAAGGCATTGGGGGAATTTGGCATATAGGGGAATTGATGAGTTACCCAGTGTTTACCTAATTTAAATCTCAAAGGTTTGAAGAAAGGTCTGGTTTCACTTACCCCTGTGGTACCAACCACAGTTACAGTATCACGACTCAGTTTCCCTTCCAAGGTGTTTAACATGGAATACACTGCACCTGTATCAAACAAGAATTCCACATCTCCCCCCCCTCCCCCAACTTAGCTACCAGAGGTTCTGCTGGGGTAGAATCCTCTGGTCTTCATCATGCATTCTGGTCCACAGTCAGTTGGGAGACTGGAGGGGTGGGTGGAAATTCACTTCTCTTCAAGTCCAGACAATCCCTTCTCCAGTGCCCCTGCATTTTACAGAAAGAACAATGATCATTAGCCTTATCATGCTGGTGATTGGATCTATAATTTTCATGGTGGACATTGTGTTTGCAGTGTCCCTGGTAGTTACTGTCCAACTCCAGCACCTTTCCCCTACCTTTTTGATCTCTATTCCGATAGACCGTCCAAGCTATATCCAATAACTCATCAATATCCTTTTTATCATCCACCTTCTGCAACTTTTTCCTTATATCATCTTCAGATTGGCCCATAAATAAATAGACCAAGCGCTTTTCCCCCAGATCTCATTCTGTGTCTATGTCTGTGTATTTTCGTATGACCTCTTTTAGCCTGTTCAAAAGTTTGTTGGAGATTCATTTTTGTCTTGTTTCACTTCATACATTTTTGACCAATTAACTGCCTTCAGAATTCTATGCTTAAAACCATAAACCACACAGTCTTGATAGCATTTCAATGCTTCCCTTTTTTCTGGTATATTGGGGTCCCACTTGGGATCCTCTAAGGGGAACACATCCTTGAGTTCCCCTTGAATTTGCCCAGATGTTATCAGTATCTCAATTGCAATCCGGGTAGCTCGCTTGACCATGTCCTTCTCTGTGGGATCTAATATTTCCAATATCACTTCCAGGTCATACCAATCTGGATTTTCTGTTCTTATTGCTCTCTGCACATAACTAGCTACTCTCTCCGGGTTGTATCTATATGCCCCGACTGAAGCCTTCCATTGCTGCAATTCAACCAGAGAAAAAGGAATCTTTATCAGAACTGGACCCTGTTTGCTCATGGTTTGCCTTAAGGAGGCTTCTACCGCAGGTTTTTCCTTTTTTGCCCTTGTTCTCCTAGCCATGGGGCTGGGGTCTGACAGAGCCTCTCATACCCTTCTTCCCCCTGTCTTTGGTCTTACTACAAAAGGTTTTTCTTCCCCTTTGCCCAAGCTATCGTTTGATTCATCCTCAGAAACTTCTGTGCATGTATTAGAAAAATCACTATCCCGAGTTTCAACGTTCGTGCTAGAGGGGTCAAAATGGGGGAGGTCCCACCTTTGCCTCCTGTCGGCAGTCGAGATTGACTTGCTTCTCTTTAATCTGCTCCTTCCCTGATGCTGTGAAGCAGAGGTTTGAAAAGCTACCAGTTTTTGTTTTCCTCCTTCCGCCGTGGAACGGGACGGTGCGGTCGAGGTAGTCGTGCTCCCTTTAAGGGGGAAGGCTGAGGGGGAGGGGGTGGCTTTGTCTCTGCCCCTAATGGTGGAGCCGGAGGGTCCCGTGTCGGCCGGGGCGGGGACTCCGGCTGCAGGCATCGCCCCTGCACCTCCTACCGCAGTCCCGAGGTCCGAGCCTCCTGTCCCCTTTGCCGCGGTAATTGCGCCTCTTCTTGCCGGCCCCGAAGTGGCCCCGGTAGGGCCCGCGGCCCCACCCGGGACCAGCGCTGCTGCGCCGGTCGGCGCTAGAGTCCCCGATGCAGTTGGGGCAGAGGCTGCCCCGGCCCCCGCCGATCCCGGAGTTCCGACAAGACAACGCCCGCAGCGGCACCAGCTCGTCCCGCCACTGCCCCCGGGGCCGCCGAAACAACCGGAGCCGGAACCGCAGATCCAGCCAGCCCCGCCGAGCTGGCAGGACCCGCGCCAGGGGCTACCCTCGCTCCTAATGGACCTACGCCCACCGCACCTGACTTGCGGAAACAAACCCCAAAACTCGCCAAGAGTATTGAAGCAGGTATGTTTATTCACAGCGCCGGGTGCATATGGGATAATTCCTCCAATCACGCACACCCATTGCCTTTGTTCAGCTTCTTTTTTGCAGTATAATGTTACATATGCATTAGTTGTATTAGATATACACAAGTTGTGTTACATATGCATTAGCTGTGTCAGTAAATTCCAGAAAAGTGAGAGGGGAAATCATTAACATACACCACTTCTATTACTGCGCCTTGGAATGCCCTCTTGGGGTTTTCTTTCGAGTGTCTTTGGGGGTCTTTTGAATGAAGTAGGAAGTCTTCCTCAGCTTGAACTTTTTACCTTTGCTAAGAATTACTGAGTTGGCACTGGCCAATTAACTCAAAATTGGTATCTTCTTCAGGAGCTTCTCTTTATCAACTTTCAAGGTCTCTTTCTCATGAGCTTCAAAGCCCCTTATCTAAACTCTAAGGTTTTCTGTTCCCGTTGAAATCTTCATTATAAAATTAACTATATCCTGTCTGTGAGTTAGCATAAGCAAGCAAGGCCCTATCCTAATTCTATCTAAAAATTAGCTAGTAAGCCACTAAAGCTACAATCTTGAATTATTGCTTTATATTTTGATCACTCTTTTATCACACCTGTGGCCGGACCCAGGAGGGGTCCTGGGCTTGCCATTCGCAATTAAGGGGTCCAATTCTTCATTTCTGGGGCTTTCAATATAGATTTGACTGATAGGATCACGTTTAACATGATCTTTCCTCTTTCTTTCCTCTAACGCCATCTCTGGGAACTCTGTCTCTATCTGAACTTCATCTTATATTCCTTTTTCCATTTCGGATGGGTTAAAAAAAAATAAAATAACTGTATAATTGCTGCAGGCATACAAGCGAGCGGGAAAGAACGACACACATCTACAAGATGCAAGTTCGAATCCACTTTATTATTGTTAGACTGTACAATTTATATTCTTCTGAGTTCTGTTCACGCGAACACGAGCACAGCACGCCATCACGATTGGTCAGCACGCACTGTCCACGCGCCTCAGGTAACCCACTGATTTGTGGTTTTGAAGCCCACATTTGCATACGGTTTCTGTTATAGCTGTTTTTCTCAGTCTGCTTTTGCTGACTCCTGCATTCTTGTAGCAGCAGACCGTTTCTTGTTTATCTTACTGTTACCTCTTGACCTTTTCAGAACTCAGTCATGGCTAGGCTTCGCGAACGAAGATTTGAAAGGACTCTACCCACTCTTGCTACAAGCGCGCTGATGGCTAAAAAGGCCAATGCGAGATAGACAAGTCCGGTTGCAGAAGGCACAGCAGAAAGACTCCCCAGGTGATATCGACGAGACGCGATTCTTTCTGCGTTGTCTTTTCTCCTCGAGAGTGATCCTGCGTGTGTTCTCAAAAGCAGCAGCAGCGTTATAGAACTCAGTATAGTCATGTAGAATTGCTAAGGCCCCAACACATAATGCAACTCAGTCCACCTTTCCTCCTTATGAAGGATTGTATTAAGTTGTAGCATGGTATTGATTTCAAAAGAGCTAAATTTCAGCCACACTACTCCTCTTAGTTGCCCGTTGCAAGACCAAATACTTATAGAGAGTCTACTTAACTCCCACTTTTTTAAAGATGTTTCAGGGCCAGTTAAATCGTCCCAATGTTGTAAAACTAAAGCCAACGGAGTCCCCTCTGGAATTTTTTCTTTAGATTGTGCACAGCTTATGTTAACAAACAACAGACAGGAAAAAATTGACAGACCTGGGTCTAGAACTTACAACCTCACATACACTGTGCAGACTTTCTACCCAAGCACCACCAGGTTCAGGCAGGAATTTAGTATTTCAACACAGGAAGGTGTCCCCCCCTTTCGTGGCCACGCCTGGCCAACACGAAACACAACTCTCCTGAGCTCCCCTCTGCCTGCCCTGACTGAGGCTTCCCAGACAGTCCCACTGCCCGCCCCGGTGAAAACCCATTCACCAACAGACTGGGAAAACACCAACTCTTGCAACTTTTGGGCCCAAGTCCAAGTCTCCCTTCCCAGTCCCACCATATTCCCTAGTTCTGGGGAAAACTCCTTCCCATAGCTGCTAATTAAAACTCCCCAGAAGCTGTTTCTTATCTTACCTCCGTGTGCGGCTTCAAGGAGCTGGGCTCCTTGAGATTGGAGTGGGAATTCTCCAAAATATACTGGCCAAGGAAGAAATCCCTGCAAAATCGAATGTCCCGATCCAGAGGAGTCACAGGTCCCGATGTTCCCCATACGGGCCACCAAAACTATTGCCTAAAAGGCTGTGCAGGAAAAAAAGACTCCAGGTCAAATTAGGTAGGAGGTAAGATAAGGATACGAAAAGGTTTTAATGAGCCCCCCAGCTTCCAGGAATCCCACCAGGAATGCCCCCCAACGTGCCTTTCGGGAATTGAGTCTGGAGGAGTTTTGGGACCCCCTCTTCCTCATCTTCATCTTCCTCGGAGCACATGCTGTTCTTGGAGGCTTTCCAGAACTCTGGGCTTGAAGGTCATTGTGTCTATGGCTATATTTTCTTGCACAGATTTTAGGGTGTTCTTTACAATTCTACCTTGAAAATGAGACTAAAAAGGCTAATGGAATTCAGGGGAATTGATATGGGAATGGATAACAGGGTTTACTATGTGTAATTACTGTGTTAAAGGGTAAGGGATAATGTACTGCTACTTTAAAATCTGCATTCACTATATAACTACTTCTAAAATCTACAAAATTAAAAAAATAAAAACTCTAAGGCATCAAAATCAAAACCGGGGCACACCAAAAATGCTAAAAATGAGTCTTTAGCAGTACCTTGAAATGATAGTAACTATGACAGGGAGACCCACCTAATGGATGAGGGAGAGGTTGTGAATGTGTCTACCTGACTTAAGTAAAGCCTTTGACACTGTCTCCCACCACATTCTTCTAGAGAAACTGACTGCTTATGGCTTGGATGGTGTTACACTCCAGATTTAAGCTATAAGCTGCCCAGAGCAGTTACATTTTTATTTAAGACTTTTTAAAAACCTTTTGGTTTGTTATAACCTATAATTAGCATTGGGAGAAAGAGTCACACACTCTCCTCTAAGAGAAATTCTTTTAATTTAGTGAGAAAAATTAGATATTTTGGCAAAAGGTTTTACAAGAGTAAAATGCAACCAAGAAAAAAGCATTGTACTAAAACATTCAGCACAACAAAACCATTCCACAACCCACTACAATCACAATTACCTTTAGTAAACCACAATTCACTGGTTTTAATTTACCCACAAGGAAAAGAGTAAAAGAAGAAAACAGATAAAAAGAGAGAGAGAAGAAAGAGAGAAGTAGAGAGGGGAAAGAAAAATAGTCACATGGTGCAGACAGCAGGAGAAGAGAGGGAGAGAGAAAAGGAAAAATGGTTACCATTCACATGGTTCAGGTTGCAAGAGAGGAGAGTGAGAGGAATGGAGAGAAACTCACATGGAGTCTTATGTATTTATATAGTTTGGTTTTCCCTCCCTGGCAGGATATCCGGTCAGTGTGATGCCTATGGATTTTTTTGATTTTTAGCTTTTTGTAGATTTTAGAAGTAGCTGTAGTTAGCTCACCCTTTAGCATAGTAGTTAGCTCACCCTTTAGCACAGTAGTTTACACATACCGAAACCCTTTTCCCCATTTGTAGTGGGTTTGTTTAGCTAAACAACACTTCCTCTTCCTGGCTAGGTCACCTGATTTATATTGACCAAGGAAATATTTCATACCATGTTACCTCAGCTCAGATATAAAGAGGCAAGGACGAAACAGTTGGTGCTCTCTTCCGTGATAGCTGCTCAGCAAAAGGAGCCTCTCTTGGAGGAGAGAACCCTTCACTACTCCTGGGGAAGTAGAATTTATTATTAGTTTCTTTACTCTGCGTGTGTAGTGCTTTTGGGTTTTTTCCTCTCTGTTTAAATATAAACTGCCTTTTCTTAGTAAATTTTGATTTTACGTTTTTTTTTCTTCCCTGTCCTAGTTAGAACAACCAGTTCATCACTGTGTGGGTGTAACCCAAACTGTGTATTCTACCTCCTCTATGTCATTTCCCAGGAACTGTTCACAATAGACCATTTGCACCAGCTGCCCAGAGCACACCTGACCCCTCAGGCTGTAAGCTGGGTATTAAGAGGCCTGTGAGATAGGAGGATATTCCTGTCCTCACACCCACAACTCACAATCACCCACTGTGGAACTCCCCGCCCTGGGGGAGGTACTGGGCATTCCTGCCTGAACCTGAGTGTATATAATCTTGGGGTCTTGAGACTTCTGGTACCACTTGTGGGATCCAGAGGAGGACTAGAACCTTGACCTTGACTGCAACCACCACCAGACTGTGACCATCACTCGCACCAAGAGGTTTCTTCTCTCCTTTTATTTTTGGACTCAGGGGGACCACGTGGGGCTCAGCACGGGGGCCAATGAACACCATTCTGTTCATGTCCCAGGGTACTGGGTTATACATCTGTTTTTTTGTGGGTTAAAACCAATTGTTCATCTGTATAATTGTATTTATTGTATTATTTTTATTAAATTGTAATTCTGACTTATAATCTCTTTTGAGTTGGATTCACTTCTCCTGACGGTTTACCTTTAAACCAGCACATTCCCTCTTCCCTTTCCCTCTGGGAAAGAAAAAAAGGGGGGGGGGGGTGTCTGGCATGGTTTGAGTGGACACCTGGCATTCAACCAAGGTCAAACCACCACACCATTTCATATCTAACTTTCTAAATTCCTTAGCTTGTTTAGACTTCCCTCAATGTAGACCTTCCTTCTGTTTAAGAACATCGCACCCCAGGCCTCTACAACAAGATACCACAACAGACAAATCATCCTTCAAAACCCAGAACTTTGGAGGAGCACCAAGGACTGGATGTGATGTGATGTGATGAAGAGGAAGATGAGGAAGATGGGGTCCCAGAGCCCCCTAACTCAATTTCCAGAGGGGTGTGCCAGGGGCAGAACTGGGGGCAGAACTGGTAGGATCTTGGGGGGTAGATAGATCTGGGACTGGATGGAATAATACCCTAAATTGTGGAACTTCCTGGACACGGAGTGTGCGTCTCTGTACCCCTGTGATGGTTGAAGGCCTTCTATTAAAACTGCTCTATTATCTTATCTCTCCTAAATTTGCCTGGTGAGTAATTTTTGCTCCCGACCGATCCTTTAAGGCAACAGTGCCTTCCAGGGCAGAGAGAGGTGTGCTATAGCCAACCAGAGGCTGCAAGGGCATGGTGTGAGCAGGCTACCAGGCAGGCCTGCCTTGACTGACAGCCCAGCTACATGGCCTTCAGCTCTTCCATGTGCTCTGCATGGGCTGCAGGCCTTTCGACTCTGCCTTGTGCTCTCATCACAGGCCTTACCATGTACTTGCAGGTCTAGGCTCAACCCTTCCCCACATACACACACACTCACACTGACAGTGAGTTGGTTCTAACCCATATCAATAATTCACTGAGATTCGGATCCAGTATCTCACAGACGGGTATACTGTTCACTGGGTAAAAAACTGGCTGGATGACCAGGCCCAAAGAGTGGTGGCGAATGGAGTTATATCCAACTGGCAGCTGGTGATCCCCAGGGCTCAGTATTGAGACCAGTCTTGTTTAATATCTTTATTGATGACCTAGATGAGGCGATTGAGTGTAGTATGTTTGCCAACAATAGCAAGTTGGACTGGAGCGTTGATCTGTTTGAGTTTAGGAAGGCTCTACAGAGGGATCTACAGGTTGAATTGATGGGCTGAGGCTAATGAAGTTCAATAAGGCAAAGTGTTGGGACCTGCACTTGGGTCACAACAACTCCATGCAGTATTACAGACTTGGGGAAGAGTGGCTGGCAAGCTGCTCAGTTTGATAAACATAAGCCAAGAAGGCCAATGGCATCCTGGCTTGTATCAAATACAGTGTGACCAGCAGGACCAGAGAAGTGATTGTCCCTTTGTAGGTGTAGTGGGTTGAACTTGGCTGGATGCCAGACAGGGGAGAGAGAATAAGATGGAAAATTACTTATAGGTTGAGATAAGGCAGTTTACTAAAGCAAAACCAAAAGTTTGCACACGCACAAGCAAAGAGGAAAATAACAAGGTTTTTTCTCTATTTCCCATTAGCAAATGGTATTTGGCTACTTCCAGGGAAGCAGGGCTTTCAGCACACATAGTGGTTTCTTAGCAGGCAGGCAGTGTAAACAGCAAATGTCTCCCCTTCCTCCTCCTTTCCTTAGCTTTTATATCTGAGTTGACATCATATAATATGGAATATCCCTTCGGTTAGTTTGGGTAAGCTGGCCTGGTTGTGTCCCCTCCCAGGATCATGCCCTCACTAGGGGAAGGAATGTTACAGTGCTGATGCTGTGCCCAGCAGTAGCCAAAACACTGGCGTGTTATCAACACCCTTCTAGCTACCAATGCAAAGCACTATGAGGGCTGCTATGGGGAAATCAGCTCAGCCAGACCCAATACAATCTCCACCCCTTATTCCATACCATTTGCTTCATACTCAGATCCCACATAATTTATATATCTTCTGACTATCCCCTGTCCTTGCACAGTCAGATATTATTATTAGCCCATTTTCATGGGCTTCTTCCATCACTCCAGGTCTTGTGCTCCATTCCATCAGGATGGGTACTCAGGACAGGAGAAGCAACACAATCGATTGTTGGGCACCGACACTCTCCTTGCTCCTCACAAAATTTGTTCTTCATTGGCCTGTTACTTTACTTCCTGCAACATACAACTCACACCACTGACTATTTTTCCCACAAGGTTAAATCTCCTTGAGGCACACATTAGGTCTGTCCATCCTTCTGCATTACCCACCAGGTACACCCTGGTCCCTGAGCAAAGACAATCCTTCGGATGGGTTTGTCTTTTCCAATGGGAGGAGAAACCCACACCGACTTCCCCAGTCACTTCCCCATATGTAGTATGGGGACCTTATCTCCTCCCACAGTATGTAGAGGTTTTGTTTGGGCAGGACCAGGTCGGTTAGCAGATCCCCTAGTGTTAACCAGCCAAGTGGTTTCAGCTAAATTTGCCTCCCAATGCATCCCATGTCCCATTACTTAATGCTCTTAACATAGTCTTCAACAGTCCATTATACCTTTCAATCTTCCCAGAGGCTTGTGGGTGATAAGGGATGTGATAGATCCACTCCTTGCCATTGTTCTTTCCCCTAGAGCTTATAAGATTATTCTGAAAGTGAGTCCCATTGTCACGGGTCGAGGCAGGACACGAC